TGTAATTGCATATAACTGAAATACAGTGTAATATTTTTAACTTCCACGCTTTACACAAAATTCCTGTATCAGTTGTTAAAATGCTTTCATCTTCCAGACCATTATTAAATTAATCAAATGTGAATGCATTTCTGAAGATGATCTTTCTTCAAGGAGCAGTATTCCACACCATTTTTAAAATTGCATCTTCTTAAATGCGAATGTGTGGAGCATCTGTTAAGGAAATCACAGGGAAAGAAAATAAAAAGTCGAGAAAGATAACGAAATAAATATTTAAAAAAACCTTTTTCTACCGATGCTTATTAACCTTTCTTGCGACAGGCAAACTATTATTACGCTGTTTAAACCGAAAATTAAGTTCTCCTAATTTCAGTATGAAAAGCGATTTCATGATTTCGACTTGATTTTACCATGAGCCTTACCAGTATTTCCTTCCCACATGATTCCACGAAAATAATAACAAGAGAAAAAAATCAGAAATAAAAGTTTTTATTTATAGGAACTTACACCAAAATCCCTATCTTAGTCAACGCTTATCGTTTTTTTTTTCTATCGAAGTTCAGATTGTAATTTATTTGCGTTATTAATACACATCTTGAATATTTTTAATATTAAGTAAAGTTTGATCGTTATCTTAAGGTAGTAAATTGCATATTTAAATAGACTATTAGTTTTTAAGGAGAATATCGTTAAAAAGGCAACTAGGGAGAGACAAGAGACTGAATTCAAGAAGGTGGATAATTGCCTTCCATCACATTTTACTTCTGACGCCACATTAGACACTGCTACAGAGGCTGTTCACACATTTTTTAGACGATGTATATTGTATTCACAAAACTAAATTACATAAAATTCTTGTGTTTTAAATGTTCTCTTTGACATCTCTTATTCTGAACTATCTTTCGACACCGCAATTTCCAGGATAATAATTGCTTTTGAAGTGGCAGAAGAGGTATTCTATCCCATTCCTCCCGAACAGCTTTCCAGAGTCCTGCTAGGGTTTTGGGACAATGTTTGGATAATGCTGTTTTTAAAAGTCCGAAAGCACAAAAATCCATAGGTGACACATCGGGAGATTGAGTAGCGATACCAGTGAAGGGTATGGCCTTGATACCAGTATTTTTGTTCCATTTATTTTAGGAAATTTACATGGGATTTTGATGTGTGACTGCTAGCTTTGTCCTGATGGAGTCTCACAGATGGATGGCACTGTGTGTAAAGCGATGGTATCTCATTCGGAAAAATTGGCGATAAAATATGTTCCTGATAGTATTTGGAGTTAATCTTGACATTTTTTTGCACTCTCTTTATTTTTAACTTGCCATTATAAGAAAAACCAGCAACAATCATGAATCCCTTAGAAAAACTTTCTTTCGATTCTTTGAACCATGTACTTAAATTTTTTCTCCTTTTTTATGATACTAAATGGCTCTTTTTTGTTACATTCATATAAATACACCCATGCTTCATCTATTGTGACAATTTTTTTCCATTTTTCTTTGGATAAGTGTTTCTCATATAGAATTCTGCAGCGTGTCCTGCGTTGAGCGATATGCTTTGGAAGAAGACGATGCACATAGCGTTCGCTTTCTTAAGATTTAAATCAACGTTTATCATTTTGTTTACAGTAGACACTGAGCATTTTAATGATTTTGCAACTGTCCTTTGACTAGGGGGATTTTCTTTTAATATTAAACAACGTACCTTTGCAATAGTCGAAGATGTCCGTTTTTTCCTTGGATATTTTTTTGGAATTTTTGTCCCACTTGAGGCTCCAATTTGACGTTTTTTTTTTTTTCATTTCTTGGTGATGATATTACCTATCGACGCTTTAGATATCACAAAACCATGACTCTCACATCGTTTTTGGATAACGGAGTATGCATATTTCTCTTCGGAAAGAGTGTAAATGTAGCCTTCGAACCACTGCTTTGTTAAATTCGCCATTTTGAATAAAAACAAAACTTTCAAGCCACAGACGATAAGTTTGACTTTCAAAAACATAGTACAATTGCAATTACTTCTTTTGCAGCAAACGATTTTTTATTACCGCTTACCGAAATCGTCTAAAAAATGTGCGAACAGCCTCTGTATTTTTTCGAAGACAAAAAACATGAGAAAATCAAATGTGTCTTTGGTGGGTTTCAAACGGCGAATCTTCCACTTGTTAGCTGGACGTACTAAGTACTTATATCAGGGGAAGACGCATGAAAGAATGCGATAACTCCTTACATATTCACTTCGCAAATCTATTTATTCAAATATGGCGCTAAATTTCCTATACTGAAAGAAAGTTGCAATTCAAAATTTTGGAGATGAGGTAGGTGTCAGTCAAGTAAGCTTACAGCAAATGTGATTTGGAAGTGTATTATTTCCCTGTCATCATATCTTCCGGATGTTAAAGGTGTGAGTGGTTAGAAAACGATCTTTTATTCACCTACTGAACATCATAATTGCTTGTTGCTATTCAAAATAGTTACAAAAACTCATCTAATTTGAATTCTGATATGATTTACAATCCTCAAGTTTCTGGTAATAAAATTTATCTTAATACTATCTTGAAATAATTGCAATCATTATTACGCTCAAGTGTAAACTAATAAAAGAAAATTCCGACTTATTTGCTGTAGAAAATAAGTATATGAAGTTGACCACAGAATGAATTGTGTTAGAAACTTATGTATCAACAACAAATTAAAGTAAACCCGAAATAGCACATATACGTAGAAAATATTTTTCAAGCTGATTCTCTTACTCAAAATCAAATTACTCCATTGGCCTGTATATTTCTATTTTTCAAATAAATTATTTTTTTCGTTGAGTTTTCATGAAATCATGAAATAGACTATTTTCTTTAACATTATGGGGCATGGCCTTTTTCAACTTCATAATTATTTTCGCATAGTTGTCTTTTTGATATCGAGAATGCTCAGAAAGGGCGATAAGTCGAGCTGTATGAAGGAAATTATAGTGTTATTCCGTGACTTCAGGTATTGATGCCAATGCTTTATCAGCAACATGTGGCTAGACATTTTCCTGAAGCAGTACTTCTTGAGTCAATCGCTTTTTTCTTTCTCTCAGTTCCTTGCAAACGGACTTTCAAGATGGGAAGCTTGCATAACGATTACTATTCATTGTCTGCCCCTGGGCTGGTGATGTTATCATCCGTCTTGAGACAGATGGTACAATGGAACAAAAAGTGACATGAATTTGCCGGCATATGTAGATTAAATTACAGAAAGCGCATAACATGGAATGTTCAATTCGCTACTAGCATTTAAAAAAATGGACTAAAGCAGCAGTTATCCCACTTTCAAATCCAGCAGATGTATCTATTTCTAACTTAAATACGTCTTCCTTTCCGAGTAAAATTGCCGCTCAGTGACAGAATGATTGATACCACTGAATAATAGTAGTTTGGCCCGCGTTTGGATTCCGGGGAATAGGCTATCTGTATAGGTGTTTGTGCGGGTTTTCTCTTGCATTACACAAATGTGAGCCAATTTCCTTTAGAAAGCCCTTTACGAAGGCATCCCATCCTTTAGGCTGATGGTCTTCGTGTACTTTGCCATATTTAAATATTCTAGACATAAACTTATACTGTGCAAGCTTATTGCAGTGGCTCTTAGAACTCTGGTGAATGGTCTGGCTGCATGGAATGTTTTCGTGTTTTTCTCATGTGGATCATAAATACGAACCAGTTTTCCTTAAAAAGGCCTCTTCAAAGGTACCGCTCTCCTTTGGCAGAAAACCCTCGTTTGCTCTGCCTTAGTCAAACAAGTAAACAGCGTCATCTGCAAGTATTTAATTCCAACAACTGGTTGCGGCAGTTTTCTCCCATCTGGTTGCAAAGTGGGGAGAGAAACTGTGACTAAATTCCAGAAAAAACAGAAAAAAAAAAAAAAAAAGTCTTTAGAGAAAACTCTGGAAATTATTTATGAATATGAGCCTTCATTGCAGTAAATAAAGTCCAGTCATATTGATTCAAGATTTCACCTCAACACACATTCTGTTGTACTTGAGTAAGCTTACGATAACCTAAAAATCTTCCGCAAATAATGACACTATATTTTTTTTAAATGTTTCCTTCACTATAACTATTTCCTTGACCTCTTAAGATCATGGTACGTTGTCAAGGATTGAATCGTTTCTAATCCGTGAACAATTCTGTGCCTATTGTTTTAACGAAGTGTTGGACAATCCACCGAATTTAAATGAAGTGTTGTCAATCCGAAATTATTGGGTTGTTGTATTGGTTTAGCAAAAGAAATAAGCAGCATATATTTTTGCATAAGTCATAGTTGAAGACTGATTTATTTTGTAAATACTTTCTAACAGACGCTACAGTGCTGCAATATGTTTGACTGTAAAAAGCTGGTAAGCAAAATCAACGAAGGAGTGAGAGAAACTTAAGGAACTTGTCTCAAGGATGGCATCTGAATGAAAAAGTAAGAGGCACACGAGCAAATAAAAAAGCTATTTTCTTATTTCTTTGTGTATGTGTGTATTTTTTTTATGTATTTTCGAAATTAATACAAAAGAGATTGAAGGATGTATGGTTTTGCATCGTCTAGTCCTTATATATATGAACCTGTAATAGTAAGAATGATTTAATTACATCTAATCTGACGTTACATAGAACCTCAGAAAAACATTCTTTGAAACGCTTGACTGAATATTATCAGATTTATTAACCATACAAAATATTTTGTCCATTATGAAACTGTTGATAGATGAAAATTCCTTGATCGAAAGAGGTGAAAATGCAAAAGCATTTTCAATGTTTCTTCTCTATGACATTATTTAGATATATAACGAAAACGACTTTAACAATGTTATAAAGTGACAATATTGATGGAGTTATTATATTAGCCTAGTATATCTGAATAATTTAAGTTTATAAATTCTGTTTAATGTAATATATCGTTTTATTTCAACTGTACTCTGAAAAATATATGCATGCAAATCATAAAAAATTATTTCATTTTTCCTTATTTCAGGATATCTCACTATGCTTTGTTAGTGCTGAGTATCACCATGATGTGCATAACAATGGCTATCATTCCCTTCTGTAAAGTGCTCTGGATTCTGGCCTTTGTTCTAGCAGTTATGGGATTTTTTATGGGCACAATTGATACAGTGGCTAACGTTTGCATGATTAGAATATATGGAAAAGATGTATCTCCATTTTTACAGGTACAGTAAACAGAGTTAATATAGAAATAAATGTTCATTTTGTCTTCCGAAAACAAATGATACCTTAGGTTAACAAACATATCAGTTTTCAAACCAAATTCAAAGGGGAAATAAAAATCTTATTAAAATTTCAGGGAAATACAGAGGATGTTCGTACATATTTTAGACGATTTTCATTTTTATTTACAGAAATATTTTACCTAAAATTTTATGTTTTAAATTCTCTGTTGAATAAATATTTTATACCTTTACTCTTGAACAGCTTTCCAAAATCTAAGGAGTGTTGTAGGTCGACGTTTGGACAATCCACTTTTTAAAAGTCTAAAAGAGCAAATATCCATAAATCTGATAATCAATAATAAACATAGTTATCTGGTGATTTAGTAGGGATATACGTGAAGAGTATAACATTGATACCCGTTTCTTGTTCCACTTTTTTGCAGAAAACTAACAGTAGATTTTGACGTGTCGCTGCTTGCTTTGTCCTCATGCTGTTCTATTGACTGATCACACTGTGTGTAACGATAAGTTATTTCAGATTTGGAAATTGGATGTAAAATATGTTTTTGATAATATGTGGAATTTATCTTAACATTTTTCTTCACTCTCTTTATTTTTAATTTGCCGTTATAGGAAAACACAGAAACAATCATAAATCCCTTTCCTTCAACGATGTTTTAAGATTTCTCCTCTTTCATGATTATAAATGAATCTCTTTTTATTGCAGTCATTTAAGTACACCCAAGATACATCTATTTTGACAACATTTTTCTTCATTTTTATCCAGATGAGTGTTTCTCATAAAGAATTCTTCAGCGCATTCTATATTCGGCATTATGCCGTGGAGAAAGACGATGCGCAGTATGTTTTTTTTTTTTTTTTGTTTTTTTTTTTTTTTTGCCTTTTCAAGATTTAAATCAGCATTAATCATTTTATTCACATTAACATTGAGCATCTTAATGAACTATCCTTTGACTTGGGGGATTTTCTTTCAACATTAAATATCTTACTGTTGCAACATTCCAAACATTCCGTTTTCTTCTTCGATACGTATTTGGAACAATTTTCCCACTTGAAGCTAAATTTTGACGTTTTTCCCCTTTATTGTTGACAACATTACCTATCGTAGCTTTAGATATTGAAAAATCATGGCTTTCGCAACATTTTTTAATAACTAGATACGAATAATTTTCTTCGGAAAGAACTTAAACACAACTTTCCATCCATTTCTCCTTTAAAGCTTCATTTTGCATGGAAACAAAACTCTCAAGTAGCAGACTATAATTTATACTTTCAAATATATAAATGTAGAAGATTGTTTTGAAATTCTCGAATGTTCAAGTCACGGACTTTTTCATCATCCCGCAACTGGAATTAACTGTGTAAAAATAATTCTTATGACAAATGAAAAGAGAAAATAGTTAACGAAGATATCTGGATTTATTATAAATTATTATTACTCAGTTATGTAAGTTATTAATGATGTATCAGTATAATATCTTTCATTTCTTTATAATTAGTAATTAGATCGCAACTATAAACAAATCAACATATATTTTCCAAAAATTCAATCTATAATTTAGCACAAGAATATTTAGTAGTTTCATATGCAACTAGGCATCAAGAAAGGAAGATAAAAATATCTTATATACTTCCCTCTTTTAAAGGGCGTTTCTGGAAATTAGGGAACCCAATCGCCAAATCCTGGTGGTGATGAATTATCTTTCACCACACTTTTAGTTCTTGTATAGTCTTTTTAGAATTTTTAGAAGGAACTGAAGAAATCCAAAGTGCCCACCCTGGGATTCGAACACCGGACCTCCTGAATATGCATTGAGAATGCTTCTAGTTATACCACAAAGTCATGCGGAAAGCAGGACTAGAAAGAATATTCTATCATGCAAGATATCTCAAGAAGTCGAGCAAAAACCCTATCTCAGTTAAAGATTTTTCATGTTACTGAATGGGTACTGAAACAATTTTTTTCTTAAAAACAAAAAGACTATATAAGTTTGACTTACTGCCAAGAAGATGGAGGTATTTATTTTTGAGCGCGATCATAGGAATGGGATGCCAATATTGATTTTATTAGCTTTTTAGTAATTTTTTAACTGTAGCTTTAAATTACAGTTTAGTAAAACTGTAATTAGACGCAGTGAATGCACTATTTTCAGTATTACTGATAATACTTGTTTTTTATTTTCGATAAAACAAAAGTGGTTACATAAAGAATAATTTTTTATGCCTAGTGAATTATTTGGCTAAAAATAGAGTTTTAAGTGGTATTTTTTAACAAGTTATGGCTCAATTTTAGACATTATATTAGCTAGATTTTTATTGTTGGCAACGAAATCTAATCCATAGTTCATTTGTCTCAGCGTAGCGTTTCGGATTTTCAATTTTATTTAAACGATTTCGCATGTATCTTAACACTTCTCTTACAGGATGGTTACCTTCACGAATAGTTTACCTTTTATATGCTTTTCTGAAAAATTAAAGAACAGGACGAAGACATATAAAACTGAGATATTCAACAAGTCGTATTCTGATTTCCAATATGACTGGTATTCAGATTTTACTGTGATACACATAAATGATTAGTATTCTTAACCAAAGACTAAAGCTGAAAATTATTAGAGGGAATCGAATGAGTGTGTTGTGGAAGTTCTGGTAACTAGTTTCAGGTGCAAGTGCATTTTATTCTCATTTAGGCTAGATTGTAAAAAAAAAATAAATAATCGTGCTTTTTTACGAACAATAAAGGTTAAAGAGCTACTGAAGAAGTTAGTGATTCAGTCACTTCATGAAGTACTACTTAAATGTTAATTCTTAGATGTTTGTGATTCAGTCACTTTTCAAAATATGTTTAGAAAGATCTGTCAGTTCAAAATATGTTTAGAAAGGTCTGTGTCTATCTAAGTATCGTAAATACATCAACACGCCTTGTTTGTTATAAAGATTCTAGCTAAGATTAGCATAAATGAGAGACTCGCTGACCGTGCAGGTTTGACAATCGGAGCAACTTTGTCAGATAATCATTTACATGTTGAAATTACATCATCCTGTTGAAAGAAAACTGTAGCACACAAAGGCCTGTCCTATTTATGGATTTTTTCTTCGTTAAAACAAATTTTAAATATTCAAGGCCTTACGTATATTTCATTTCAGTAACACCGAGCTCTTTGCCTTTCCTATCTGATTTAGATATTTCTCAGTTAAACCAAATTTCGTTACAAGATGTTAAGGATAATTAGAAAACGTTGAACCCTTATAGAAAGTGTTCGCTGCACAGCCAGTATAGTGGTTAATGACGCTGATTGCCGTACCGATGGGCATGGGTTCAAATTCCGGAGAAAGCAGGGATGATTGTAAGCGTATAGTACCCTCAAATTACACGGCGATCCAAAAGTCCGCTCGAGAGGTTGGTGATAGGGAATTACTAATTTTTACTAATTACTTTTCAATACCGCTGTAAAACATCGAAATTTGTTTAGTAACTCGCAAGCTTTTTGCATTTTTTATACTCCCGATATTTTAAGTTTCATCTCAGTTAAACACAACTTTTTAATTACATTCAGCTTTCTTTTTTCTTTCTGATCTTTTTTCTTTCTGACGTAAGCTTAGCGTCATCTCGACAGGTCAGAAAAAGTATTAGATGTTGTGTAAATGAACAGCTGGTGCACAACAGAAAAGATATTACTTTATTTCAGAAGAATTTGCTAGTTATACTATTGAACTAGTACAATTTCTGTTTATATGTGGCTTTAATATAATTGTTTTAATTGCTCTGTTTCTTTCAGTGTGTTATAGATTTCCGTTAATGTTAGTAATATTATAGGCTCTACATTTCTTTTACGGTCTTGGAGCTTTTATTAGTCCTCTGATTGCTCAACCTTTTCTACTGAATGAAGATTGCTCTCCTTTCATCGACAATACTTCAGTTCCAGCTCATATATTGGATGAAGACGAGCCTTTACCAGCTGCCAATTTGGAAGAAGCTCAGAAAATGACTCACATCGACAATGCATTCTGGATCATGTCGGCTCTTATGGTAATATCAAAACATCGAAGGGTGCCAAAAGTGCTGTAATATAAAATGAGCTGCAGTTAACTTAAGAATCCAAATGTATCAATAATTACTGACTATATTCGAAAAAACGTTGATACCATTTAGTTCCGAATGCAGCAAAGTGCAGATCAATAATAATTCATTGCAGTGGTATCACACTGAAATTGCATGCAGACCGAAATGCAGCTGACTGGCCAGAAATACTTTTTTAATATTTAAATAAAAATAAAATAATAAATTAAACCGTTATTTTTTTAATTTACTAAAGTTTAATTTATTTTACTAATTACTTATCAAAACATACATAACAATAATAATAACAACGCAAGAGAAATATTTAAATTTGTATTATTTTCTCTCTGAAATCTAAAGGTTCGTCTGCAAGAAATTTCTGTCCGTTATAATTTGTAAGTGAGGCGTGTTGAAAGCTTAAAATTAAATTTTCTGGCCGTCATTTTATAATTATATTCAAATAATTCTAAGGTACCGAATTAAATACTGAGTAACCTTACTTTGAACTTGAACAAAAATAAACAAATTATGAAAACGTCCCAAATGTTCAGAGAAAAATTCTCAGGTGGATAAAAACTTGAAAATAAATAATGGCAAGCTATTCTTTTATTTGTTAAATTTTACAACGACACATACAGAAAAAATACATATGTTTTTATCCATATAATTATAAATTTACTCATTTATGGCAGCAACTTGACATCTGAGGACGTTTCGATTCTGATAAAGTTTGTACCGTTGAAGAAAAATAAATCAAACTATTTGATCACTGATTGTAGATGTTCATAGATCAATTAATTTCTTTTCCTAGATTAATGCTCAACTGAAAAATAAACTTTTCGCATATATGCAGTCTCAAACCAAGAGATTATTCTTATTAAAAAAACCGTATATGAGGGCATTTATTTTCTGGCACGTGCGAATAAAAGTTAAACAAATCTGTATTTCCAGATCTTTGAATAAAATTTATATCACACTCTAAATAAATTAGCTCCAGTTGTAGATTTTCTGGTGAGTTCATTTTTAACGGCAATGAAAATAATATAAAATCTGGCTCCAAAATCCTCCAAATCTTTAAACCTTTCTTCAAATTATTTTCATAATAATGCTATTTTTCTTGCCTACTGTTGATATTTTTCCTTTTATTATTCAGTGTATCATTGTCAACTTGTTGAAGGTTTTATTTATTTATTTGCTGTTTTGAGTCGTGACAATTTCGATTATAATCAAAAAACGTAAATAAGGAAAAAAATGTTTTAATACAAGAACAAATCTTCAACTTAAATACCTCTCCTTGTCATAATTAATCATTCCTCTTTATTTGCTTTTTAATTCTTAGCAAGAACTGATGACTTCTAAGCAATGCAACACATTCCAGAGGATTCATCTAATTTATGCCCGTGCGATTTCTTTTTTTCGTTGATGTCATTTAGAAATTGTTACCAAGCTCTAGAAGTTCTAGTTTTTCAAGTTTCAATGATCGAAAACTAATATTACACACTGGGCGTTCGTGTAATACCGAAAAGTTATAGTGCGATGCGATGTGATGTACGGAACTTTAGACGGTATGAGGATGACCTGATATCCGTCCTATTTTATTGCATAATAAATCACAAAAAGGTTTCTCACCATTTGTATATACCCTGTATTTGTAAACATCCTCCGTATGTTTATATACACATAGGCATATACAGGAAGAAAGGCTGCATGACTAAATAGCACTAGAGTAAGAGGACGTAAAACATACTTAAAATCGCCTTGATTTTGAAATTGAAATGAAATTACAAATTGCTATCACTTTTCGAGAGGGCTCATAAATTTAAATTTTTATTTCATGCTGTATCTCCCAAAAGACATTCTAGGTCGAAAAATTTTTTAAATGTGGTTTTCGCACTGAAAATAATACTCAGAATTATATGACTTAAACCATTTTCTCCAGAATCAATAAAAGGTAGAACATAAAATTTCGAATTACAGCATTTCTAGAAATCTCAAATAGTTTTGATCATACGAGGGTAAAATGTTCTTTTCATTGTTGTCAGCTATAAGAAACAGTTTTCATTCAGACCTTTCTTCTTACCTGGTAAATGTAACTATTTAACTTTCATATATTTCTTATAAATATTGTCAAGTGTCCAAAACTGTAGCCTGAAATCTACTTTATTTAATCCATTTCTTAAATTAAACATACATTTATATTTATATATATCTTTTATTTTTAGATTTTTGAAAAAAGGGAAGGAAAAATAATGACTTCGCAGTGACACAAGGAAAATGAATTCTATTTTAAATGTAATAAATTTTCGTCTACTTTTTTATTTGAGGTTTACATTAGAATGCCTTCATAATAATCACTCAGAAAGAGAACTTATTTTTGATACCAGTTACATTTGAGATGAATTTGAGTTCTTAACTTGTATACGATAAATACACCTGTTGTAAATCGTGTATATTTTACTCAGTATCAATACTTTCAATGGAATACTTTTATTGGTGAAAGAAACAGTTTATTTCCAGTGCTGCGCTTTGAATGTTAAGCGTGCAACTTATTTTCCTTGTACCTGATGTGAAATAATTTATAATTTTCCGTATAGTCGCAGGTCGAAATACTTTCTTTGGTCATGTTTCATCCACTTTAAGCGAAGGATACCTCTAAGCAGATTTTGTGCAGCTTTAAAAATTGGGAATTATACCCTAGATGTTCTAAAACCTGAAGAATTTAGGGACAAGTGGTCGAGAAAGGAACTTGCAAGCAGGCATTTTTGTTTTTGAAGCTACACTGGCATCCAAAAATTAAGCACGCGACGGTAAATTTAACAAAAATGGAAATGTAAAGTTTTAATTAACACCAAATTGCATATGAAGGTAGCAAATATGTTAATGCATGAAAGAAAACAAGCGTCATTCACAAAGATGAAAACAATATTTAACTTTCGTAAATTATGTGATGACCTCTCATTTGAGTCATGAATAAATTGAAGTTTATTGCTAAAAGCAAACAAGGAAAACGTACATTAATAAGGTTATCAGGACTTGTATTCCTTTTAATCTGTTTTGGGAACATGACGTGTCCTGAATGGGAACAAGGAGCTTACTCAAGCTATGTTCAAATAGGTGTGGAATGGAAAACACAAGCAAGAAGGGTTAACTTTACCCTTTATTTTCTACAATATTACAGGTGCTCCCGCACTTCGGGATACAGAGACCAAACACTTGTGGTCTGAACGTAAAAATATAAAACTACTAACTAAAATTTTAAATAAGATCTGACTTTGAATAGTTTACACAAATACCTAAATAAATATTACGTATGTTTACGTACGTTTTCTTTAAAATATTACATATGTAGTACTTAAACTGCCGTAACCTCTAATACGTTTTAAATATCAACAGGACTAAACTTCTGGCCTTAAAGGCGGACAGCAGCTGATTGAAAACTCGCGTGTAATGCAGTGGCAAGGCGGTTCACTATCTCTTTATCTAACTCTTGGCAAAAAGCCACAACTTAAATACTTGGGCGTTAGCAAGTACAATTTGCATAAACAAGTTAATGCGTTTAATTCTGGCCGGAAGTGGAAAATATGGGGATAGTATAGTTTTAAAACAAAATAAACGTTAGTGCAACTGTTAAACATAGAAAATGCCGTGGTTCCCAAAACAATTATTTATTACCAAGATACGCAGAGATACACGCAGAGTTATATGCAAAGAAATACAAGCAAGCAGAATACCCAATATGAATCTACATACAAACATAAGTTTGCCCTTTCGAAATCACCCTTTTTGTATATCAATTTTAAATTTAAGGTGTTTTTCAAGCACCTAAGAATTCGCTTTAGAGCACACCAGGCAACATCAGTAGGATGCTCCTGCAGTTGGCTTAAGCATTTTACAGCAAATAAAATATCTGGCCTTGTAATATATGCTAAGTAAAGTAAAGATCCAATTAATTCTTTGTATGGGCCATGAAATGCATTTTTCTTTCTGAAAATCCGCTGCTGTAGATTTTGGTTCAGTGGGAGTTTGGGCTGTTTTACAATCGGGCATTTTAAATTTATCAAGTACTAATTTTTTAATGTGTGGTTTCTGATATAAATATAAACAACCAGACTCAAACTTTCAGTCTAATGCCTTAAAAATTCTGAGACACCTTTTCAGATTTTGACATTTGAAATTCACTTAGATAACAATAATATTATACATATTTGTTTCTTTTACGTCCGAACCTGCAATTAATAAGTCATCTACATAAAGAGCCATAATTACTTTCTTACAATTTAGATTTCTTATGAAAATACATGTCCAGAGTCCAATTGCTTAAAATCTAATTTAATTAACAAAATTAAGAAATTTCTGATACCATTATCGAGGAGACTGTTTAACACCATATAGACTCTTTTTAAGTTTACATTTCTTACCACTCATATAATCATATCCTTTTGGCTGGTCCATGTAGAGGATTTCATCTAACTTACCGTTCAAGAAAGCTGTCTTCACATCTAAAGTAAAAGTTTGAAAACCTTCATTATTGATAATTAGTAGGATTAATCGTAAAGAGCACATACTTATCACTGGAGAAAACGTGTCTGTATGATCTATGCCTTCCTTTTGCATAAAGCCACAAGCAACAAGCCTGGCTTTGTAAGTTCCATCTCGTTTTTTACGTAGAACCCTTTTGCAGGAAATCTTTTATCAGGGGGTAAACCTTGTAGATCCCAGACGTCGTTATCTTCCATAGATTTCATTTCCTCGTCCACAGCTCTTTTCCATAGTTCTTATTCTACTTGTTGTAGATTTGCAATATCTTCAAATGTCACAGTGTCTTGTTGTGCAAACATTACTTGATAAATCTCAGGATTAGGATACCTAACCGGCTGTTTCTTTTCTCTTGAAGATTTTCTTTATTCCTTCTTCTTATTTGCAGCCAGTTTCCCTTAGAAAGTCATCCACGAAGGCATCCCTCCCCTTAGGCAGATAGCCCTAGTGTGCTTTGCCATAATTAAATACAACAACCTTCTTATTTGCAGTATTTAATTCGCCGTTATCAGTGTCTGAAATTGATTTGTCTTCATTTTTAATGTCATGATTGTCATTTTCACTTAAATCAGAACTATCGGGAAATAATAACCCACAAATATCATTCTGACAGGTTTTTCATCTTGTTTCTTTCTTTGCGATGGTGGCATAAGAGTATAAGTATCACAGCCAAATACACGCATGTTTGTTAAATCAGGATTTTCACCAAACTTCAGAAAATAAGAAACACGATTGTCAATTGAACTATTTGGGAGTCGATTATTTATGTAAGCAGCCGTACGTACTGCTTCACCCCAAAGGAATTTTGGCAGTTTTGCCTCAAGTATCATTGCTCTAGCTTTTTCCAGTACAGTTCTATTTGCTCGTTCAGCAACACCATTTAGAAAAGGTGTATAGGGAGGTGCAGGATATATTTTTACACCTGCTCTTTTAGCAACATCATGCAATTCTCCGCTGACATATTCTTTGGCATTGTCACAGCGCAGTTTTGTAACAGTTCGATTCAATTTAAAGAATAGCTTGAGTTCATCAGCAATGTCACTTTTGCTTTTGAGCAGTCTGATTTCCATAAATCGCGAGTAGTCATCAATTATAGTCATGAAATACGTTTCCCCATGGCAGTGGCGTAGCAAGCATAACTGGCGCCCGAGGCAAAATACATTTTTGGCGCCCCCCCAA